TGACCCCGGTGATCCTGTGGTGACCCCACTGTCCCTGGTGACCCCGTGGTGTCCCTGGTGACCCCGTGGTGACCCTGGTGACCCCGTGGTGACCCCGCTGTCCCCGTGGTGACCCCGTGGTGACCCCGTAGTGACCCCGCTGTCCCTGTGGTGACCCCGGTGCCCCCGTGGTGACCCCATGGTGACCCCAGTGACCCCGTGGTGACCCCATGGTGTCCCCAGTGACCCCATGGTGACCCCGTTGTCCCCTGCGTGTCCCTGCTGTCCCTGGTGACCCCGTGGTGACCCCGTGGTGACCCCGTGGTGACCCCGGTGACCCCGTGGTGACCCCGTGGTGACCCCGGTGTCCCTGGTGACCCCGTGGTGACCCCGCTGACCCCGGTGTCCCTGGTGACCCTGTGGTGACCCCGTGGTGACCCTGGTGACCCCGTGGTGACCCCGCTGTCCCTGTGGTGTCCCTGTGGTGACCCCGGTGACCCCGTGGTGACCCCGCTGACCCTGCTGACCCCGGTGACCCCGCTGTCCCCGTGGTGTCCCCGCGTGTCCCTGGTGACCCCGCTGTCCCTGGTGACCTCGTGGTGTCCCCGTGGTGACCCCGCTGTCCCCGCGTGTCCCCGGTGACCCCCTGGTGACCCCGCTGTCCCCCATGTGTCCCTGGTGACCCCGTGGTGACCCCGTGGTGACCCCGCTGTCCCCGGTGACCCCGTGGTGACCCCGGTGTCCCCGCGTGTCCCTGGTGACCCCGCTGTCCCCGTGGTGACCCCGTGGTGACCCCGCTGTCCCTGGTGACCCCGGTGACCCCGTGGTGACCCCGGTGTCCCTGGTGACCCCGTGGTGACCCCGTGGTGACCCCTTGGTGACCCCGTGGTGACCCCGGTGTCCCCGCGTGTCCCTGGTGACCCCACTGTCCCCGGTGACCCCGTGGTGACCCCGCTGTCCCCGCGTGTCCCTGGTGACCCCGCTGTCCCCGTGGTGACCTCGTGGTGACCCCGTGGTGACCCCGGTGTCCCCGCGTGTCCCCGGACAGTTCCGGAAGAAGCGGCTCCGCTTTGGGCGCAGTCGGATCCACGAGTGGGGGTTGTTCGCCATGGAGCCGATCGCGGCCGACGAGATGGTGATCGAGTACGTGGGGCAGAACATCCGGCAGGTGAGCGTCACCTGTGTCACCTGTGTCACCTGTCACCTGTGTGTGTCACCTGTGTGTCACCTGTCACCTGTGTCACCTGTGTCACCTGTGTCACCTGTGTCACCTGTGTGTCACCTGTGTCACCTGTGTGTGTCACCTGTGTCATCTGTGTCACCTGTGTCACCTGTGTCACCTGTGTGTCACCTGTGTGTCACCTGTGTCACCTGTGTCACCTGTGTGTGTCACCTGTGTCACCTGTGTCACCTGTGTCACCTGTGTGTCACCTGTGTCACCTGTGTGTCACCTGTGTCACCTGTGTCACCTGTGTGTCTCACCTGTGTCACCCGTGTTTTGGTGACCTCTGATGACCTTTGGTGACCTTTGGTGACCCCTGATGGCTTCTGGCCATCTCTGCTGACCTTTGGCCACCACTGCTGACCTTTGGTGACCTCTGCTGACCTTTGGCCACCCCAAACC